ACACACACACACCTACTGCTTCTCCAGCATTTACATTCCATTACTTATAAAACCGAAAATAGCAAGACTTCTTGGTGTAGCCATCCCAGTATGTTAACAGTATTACTTGAAAGTTCCCACTCGCCGTGCATAACCATGCCAAATCCTTCGACCCTGCTCTCTCTTAAAATCTCTGCAAATCTCAGCAGGTTCTAGACGGCCAGTTTTTAGCTTTTAAAAACTTTTTTTATCATATTTTGTATAAAATCCGTTCTTTTGTTTGTTTCTATTGATATTCCATTGCTTGCTTTTTCTTGTTGTGTTTTTATCGTGATATTCCCAAAGCTGCTCCAAAAATCGGAGTCCATCGGATAAAACAGAACCCAACTGAAATGTGAAGCGACGACACTTCATGTTTCTTATCCTCGTTCTTGTTTGTAATGAATACAATGATGAATGAGACTTAATTTCTGCATCTGCATAGAGCATCTACATCGAATTTACTAGAGTCGAATTTAGTAAATCCTGAAGGTCTCGATTCGAGGAGCTAAGTCCAGCTCAGTTTCGGTTATGTTTTTTTTAATTGTAAATTCAATGAGCATGGCGCAGTAGCAACTAGAAATTAAAAAAAATCCATACAGAAATGAAAAAGAATCTGAGGAAGTCAATGAATCAGTTCTAGCAAGGTGAAGCGTACCGCATTTTTCCGTAATTTTATCACTTAGTAGAATTTGTAGGCGAATGGCTCATCATAGATTACGGCTACACTGGGATACATACAGTAGCACCACTGTTCGACATTTTTGGTGGTGATACCACTCACCAATTCTTTCATTTCATCTGGAGTGGTACCATCCACTGATGTCTGCAGTTTCATCCTTGATGACTCCATCGGCCTTAATTCTCAATTCCTTTGCATCCCATCAGAATTCGGCTGCGCTGTGGCGAAATCCTGTACCATTACTGGAAAATGATGCATCGCTTTTTATGCAGATAATACTATGATAGCAAATACCTAATGTCTGCTGATGCAAGCATGCGACATATACATGAAATAAGACTAGGTAAAGGTCATACACATCATATATACACTATATATTATACATCATATACGTTATGTTATATTATACGTTATGTTGATGCACACATTATATTATGTACATTATACATCATATACATTAAAGTCACACACATTCTTTTGCGCTAGTTGGGCAAGTGCTCGGCGATCTCGGCGGTATTTTGCAGAGATCAGCAAGATTGCCCGGTTTATCGGCATGCACCTGGTAAGGCTGTTTTTTTACAAGAATTAAGTGTAAGTGCGACTTGAGGTCTGCTGCCCTAGTCCAACACTCGACACCCCGTATCATCGGATTGCATTTTAGACGATCTCGGGTTTTAGTTGGCGTATGCCAGCGTTCAACAGCTGTTACCGAGTCGAATGCATTTTGCTTTTCTGGCAGTCAGTGTTATGTCCATTTTGTATTATTTTGGCTGTACTTTTCGTTTTCTAGTGACTCCTAAAACATTTTTATTTCTTTAC